GAATTCTCCGCAGATTACTATTAGCCTCATTTATGGGACTGCACAGAGAACTGTGAAATATCCTTTGAACTCTAAGGGCCAGATGGTTTTGCTGTTAGATTCTAATGACCCACAGCAGTGTGCATACACAGACATCACAGTTGCCAGTTGACTGCAAACATGTGATGGAGGCAGGAGAATTCATGACCCGTGCTTCCAAAACACAAGCTAGTCCTACTTGGGCAGAGTGGACTTCCCCCATCACTATTGATGGGATAAAGAAGCATTTCTGCTACTGCCTCAAAAGGGAGGTAATTTCTGAAGCAAGCCATGAGCATACCTTGACCTGAGGAGCAAATGGCAGGCACATCGTCCCATGCAATCTGGGGTAGATTCCTGCTAATGATCAAGAAGCTGCACGTGGATTTGCTTGAAGGCGAGGGTTCTCTGGTGGGCTGTGTGGGCCCTTGGTCCCAGGGCTGTATCACTCTGTTGGAAGAGGGAGAAAAAGGCTGGACTCAAACCAATTAAAGCTGTAGGGCAAAATGGTAGTTACTCTGCTCTCATATGGAACTGCTTGTAAGACATGATTTATTTTGGATTATATTGGTTTCAACAGATATAATATGAACTTGCTGATTTTTCAAAGATGTGTAGACAAAAAGACTAAATATGGTTTTACTCATCTTTTAATTTAGAACTACAAGTGTTTGAGTGACCTATGAAATTATTTTAATGATCTCTGAGCTGTCAGCACTATAAATGTCATCTTAACTGAATAGTAGTTTACACCATGGTCATTTAGTCTCACCAGCAGAGCTACCTCCATGGAAATGTCATGTCTGTGTCAGGCTGTTGGAAAAAAACAGAGAATCACTGTTGCCAAGAAGCATCCGTCAGACATTTTCATAATACTCAGTTTGAAGAGGAAGACACAAATACAAAATCTAGGAGCACTGTGAGTGTGCAGCTTGCCCTTGGAGCTTCAGGCACAGCAGTCAGAAGATGATTTGCATTGAAACCAGAGCTTTTATCTCTGATCATTAAAAATATGTTCCAGCATTGCTTGTAGTAGTTGAAATAGACTTACCCATATCCTACCCTTTTCCTTCCTTAGCTTTCTAATATTATGAAAAGTCACAGGATAAGAGGACTCCGGTGAATGAGAAGTGTGACAAATTGAATTTGATACAACTTTTGGCCACTGGTACAAGATGAATATTAATATGTCACGTGATATACATTTTCTCATATAGAAGGCAAGGAAATTGTTTGACCAGTGACGGTAGGCTGTAAGGATGCATCTAAGATAGTGACAAAGAGTAAAGTAACAGAATTTGAAAATAAAAAAAAAAAAAAAGAGGGATGTGGTGACACAGGAGGAGTGGAAGAAGTGTCTTCTAGAAGATAGACAGTTGGACTTTGAACGTCCAAAACTTACAGCAAAGATAAAACAATCAAAAACTTCCTATACATTCCTTTTCAGGTGTTTTGTGGGTTTTTTTCTGTTCAAAGTTAGGAATACTGAAGTTCTAAATTGTTATCTTTTGCCTTAGCTCACATACTTAATATTTAAAACCCGGCAAAAGAAATACTTCTGTACTTTGGATTTGTTCTTACATGATGGATATTTTTGAAGACCTGGTCATAGGATTTTTCCAACACTGTCAGTTGTTCTTTATGTCTCATGTAGATTTAAGAAAGATACTTAATGTTGACTTTGTAAAAAACCCTGACGTTTGCTTTGAAGTGTATGGAACTTCAGCTGATATACATGCAGTGTACAACAGCTGTTTTTCAAACCTAGGATAAAAATGAAATGTGAAAGTGCTGTGTTGCATGAACCCCTCCGTACTTAGGATCACTGACATTAGTGAGAGAGCCTCTGACAGAGTAGAAATTCTGCCATGTTACTCTGCAGGCTCCTGGCGGGGAGAATACAGAATAGTTCAGAGCTCTCGTATCTTGTGTACAACTTTATTTTCCTCCAGAACACCTCTCTTTAAAGTCTTTTGTCTGTGGGTATTTTATGGTTCCAGTCTTCTCAATAACCAAGGCAGATTCTCTTTCTTTCCAGTTAGTTGAACATGCAGTTGCAACACGCTTGTAAATCAGAGATGTTTCTTTTGAAGCTCCAAAAAGATAACTCAGTGAACACAAAGTTTAGTGAGTTGAGGCATTAGTATCTCTAGTGTGTCAAAAAGGTTCCAAAGGCATCACATCCACAACAGTTAAAGAAATGAGAGAGGTGCTTTTGAAATTTCTTGTTACTCCCCTACACCTCAGTTCTTCTGGGCATGCTGACCTAAGTAAGCATGCAGTCCTTACAGGATTGGACCTTTCTGGATTTATTTGTCCAGCTAGCTCTCCCACACAGCCAAGCTGAAGCAGGAAAAGCAATGCCCCTGAAAACTGGCCCTTGCAGTGATTCAGCTGCCACAAGCCATAGCCCTCAGTGTGACATGAGTGGGCATGGCTCCTATCATGTCAGTGGTGTGTGCCACTAATACCAGCTGAGGGACTAAGCCCTGCTTCTGAACTTGCATAACTGAGCTGCTTCCATTTAAGGGAGAAAGCATATCACACACTGAACTCCAGATTCCAAATCCAGTGGAAACCTAGCTGGCAGTAAACAAGCACTACCAAGGAGCAGTATGATAGCAAAGGTCTTGAATGACTAAGATTCTTGCAAGCCTTGGTCAGTATGAGAGACAGTTTCCAACTGGGCAAAGTACAATATTTTCCCTCTGCTTTTTATGAATGGCTGGATAGGACTGTGCTGGAGTCGGAGTCCCCTGTGGAAACCATTCACAAAAATAACAAAACAAACCAAACACACACACAAAAACCTTTCTAGGTCCAGTCCAGAGCCACTGGGTGCCAGAGGCTGGAAAAACATGCTGGCAGCTCAAGCCCCAGCTATCACTGAAAGTATTCAAGGGGCTTTTTGGTGGTCTGAAAAGTATGAACTACTGTATAGAAAGGCAGCTGGTAGAATTACTGTGACACATACTAGGCAGAAAGCCAGAGCTGGCCTTGTTTCAGACATTGTCTTTCCTCTCACTGAAGTGTCAGGACAGGACCTAATTCATGGAAAATTTGGTGAGTTGGCAGCTCTTTCAGAAGATTTCATTGAGCCACAGTGTGTGAGTCACATGAATGTAGAGTGCATGGCCAAAAATATATGGGGATTTCTGAGTAGGAGAAAACAGTCAGCCTCTAAAAATGTCTGTGGATTTCATGTGGTTTGGGAGTAAACACATGTACAGGTGTAATCAGCAGGCAAAAAAAAAGAAAATAAGGTGGAAAAGCACTAGTGGCAGATTACAGAAGAGCTCAGTAAGTTCCTTAATTATGAGAGATTCCTTTGAAACAAATAATTCCTTAGCCCAAGGGCAGCAAATGTCCATCGAGTTCAGGGTTTGCAGTCCACCTGGAGAAGCCATCAATAAAACGTGTGCCTTGATAATACTTGCTCCATTGCAAGGGAGTTTAATGGAAAAAAGAGGGTCCACCCTGAAGTTTAAAGACAGACCCAGCCATCATGTAATTTTTTTCCTCATATTTATTTGAGAGCAGAATTTGGAGCCTGAGGCACAGATACAAAAATATAACAGCGCTAGGACTCTGCTGAGTTACAAAAAGACTGAAAATAAACAGAGCATCTCTTGTTAAAATGGGACGCTTGAGATGGGCAGTCTGAATTGAATCAGTTACATTTAATTTACGTTTTCATTGATCCTTCCCACTGAAATATTGCTCTGAAAGGCCAGTTACATCGAACTGCTTATTCAGAAATATTCCAGTTATTTCCTACTACACTGTCATGAAAATTAGGTTTTTGGCCATGGAGAGGGACAGCATATTGGCTTCTGCCCAAGCAAGGCACTGAAATCGTGGCTGGGACTGGGATAAAGCAGGAAGGAAGGGCAGAAAGAAAATCATGGGGTGTGATTCATAGACTTTGAAAACAGTGCGGGGAAGGGGGGTAGGCAGGAGCTTTGCCCCTCTGAAGTAAGAAAAGCTCTTTTGTTCTTTCTGTGTCAGGATTTCATCCTTCATCTGTGGTTTTATTGTTCCATGCTGCTCCTAGCACCCACAAGCATCATCACATCATGTGGGTAGTGGTGGTGGATTTTAAGCATGTCTGTATTTGTTCCTTAATTGGTACTCCTCCTCCCCCAGGTGGGGATGAAGTGCACTGGCACCTTGGTGGGTCTCTTGACTCGTGTGAGGACCATGTTTCCCAGTCCTGGGTGGGAGCAGCCAGGAGGGAGACTTGCTGAGGAACCACTGGGGCACCAGGTCCTGCATAGGCAGGTGGATACAGCCAACCTGCCTGAGGATGGGCATCCCCAAAATCACATCAGTAGGCTCAAGAGGGTCAGCACATGAGCATCACCTTCATGCAAAGGTCTGAAACCAGAGCTTCCAAGGGCTGGAACCACTGCCCACCCCAGCCTCCTGATTTTGGCAGGGATGGCTTTGGTCATGTGGGAAGCCATGGCTCAGGAATGGGGCTATGCGTCCTTCACCTCTCTGTCCAAGCTGTGCCCCAGCTGTGCTCATGACCAAGAGGGAGGGCTTCCCCACAGCAGGACACTCCACTCATGGCTGAGAGAGAGTCGTAAGAGGGAACAGCATCAGTGTAGACAAAAAAATACAGTTACAAAATCAGGCCACTCCCATGGTCTGATAAGTTAATACAGCAAAGGAAATTTAGCAGTACCATAGAAGAACTGAAAGATGTAACACGCTAAATTGGACTTCACTTTGGTTTTAATGATACAAACTTAACATACTCCTCTTTTTCCATGGTAATCTGAACTACTTCAGAGCAAGATAGGTGTAGGAGAGGCTGGGTGTGAGAGCTGGGTATGTACATCTCTCCAATTCTGAATGTGGGCTTTGCCTGTGTTTTATTTCTATTGCTGAAAACATTTTTCCTAGCATTTGTGAAATCACGGTTAAGTGCTCTCAGGGAATTTTGTTTCTCACTGTGCTTTTGTTTTACTTTTCAGCCTCAACAAGTGGTTCAAAAGAAGCCTGGTCAGGTAAGAAAAGCTAATTTAAATTCTTTAGACTAAGTGAAATAGCTTTTTAGTATTTCAGCTGGTCTCCTTTACTGTAAAGAAAGAAGGGAAATGCATCAGTCGTATGAGCTGGGGGAAAGCTGTTGGCTTGCTAGGCACAACCATCAGAGCAATTCACGTGATGGCCCTTGGGAAAGAGAAGGGGAAGCAGTGGATGGTGCTTGCTTAGAATTGTCCTCTTTCTGCATGTCTCACCTTACAATGGTAATGCAGACACACATGCACACCTCCATGGTGTGAGTCCAGCATGTGATAGATATCTCTGTGTATCCTGAACATAGGTAGCTGGGGACTGCATTACAGCAAGGAGGGGCATATGCATAAAACCAGTCTCCCCATTGGTCTAAAGATTCCCTAAATCCACAAAATAAAATAGACTGAACTTTGTAACTAGACTGGATCCGTCATAAAGACTAACACATTTGAATTTTTTGTATTGGATGGTATTATTCTTCTTTAACACTCTGGACAGATGCAAACCACAAGGTGAAACCAGTCAAACACTGCAGTTACAATCATCTTCATTTTCTTTTCCCAGTCTGCCCTGTGTTAAAAACCCCAAGAACCTAACTCTAGCACTCTTTTACATGTGCACCAGCAGAAAAGCCTGTGGGCATGAGAGCAAGTCCATCCTTGGGTCTCCAGAGTCCATGGGCTGTGCTGCTGTATCTCCATGCAGATGGATGATTGCTGAGTCAGGAGCATAAGGGGTCCATAGCTTTTCTGGAAAGAGGTCTGCTTTCAGAAGGGAATAATACTTTCACTTTTCCACCTTATGGTTTTAATACATTATTGTACAGTGTATATTGTTGTAATATCCGCTGTAATCTGAATTAGGATCTGTTACATAAGAAACAGAAAACATCCTAACCATAAGTTGAAGGGGTAAAATGATGTAATTCTCCAAAGCATGTGCAGGAATCAGATTTCTACAAAAGAAATCAAGACAGTCTCAGCAGTGCGAATCCATGCACAGGTTAGTGTCTCTGAATGGTGGACGTAACATACAGAGTGAATGTAGTAGTACTTTCAAGTAAGGTCAGTTTTGCAAGGACAGGTAATGTCTTTTATTGGGCCAGCTTATGCAAGAAACACAGTGTAAGTTCCAAGGGACTTACTGTGTATAACCTTCTGACTATACCACACAATTCAAAACACAACAAGTTGTTCTAATAAAAGATATTTCCCCTCCCTGGTCTCGCTTATTTCCTTCAAATGTTATGGCTGCAATCAGGCTGTTCCTGTTACAACATGATAGTAAATCTGCCAGTGCACAAAGCCAGCTATCTCCTCTGTGGCACCTGAGAGGCTTAAACCCTGCTGTGCAGAGGAGGCCAAATACAGGAGGCGCAAAGACTCCCGGGAGGCTGTTTGTGTTGCCTTTTCTCCTAGTACATATCACTGGGGTCAGCAGGAAGAAGGGATCTAGAGTTGGTGGCTGTGCCTGAAGCCTAGCCTGGCAGAAACCATTGCTGCCAATGGCCTGTGTGGTGCCACCAGGTCTACAAGATCCCTGGGCATTGCTCCTGCAAGTTTTGTTTGAACAATAATCGTGCAAGCCTGAGTGCAAGACAGTAAGAAATACCAGAGACTGAGGCTGGTCTGGGGTGTAGGAGGACAAAGAGGGGACCTGGACTCTGTCATCTGGTAGGAGAACAAAGTAATGACAGATTTAATTGGTGGCAAAGTGACATAGGCACTTGAACCAAAGCACCAGTGTTCCCTGTATGAATTTTCCTGTCCCTCTGCTGAAGCACTGATTCTGGTGGGGATGCTGTAGCGTGTTTCAACCAGGATACCACCGCTCCTGCAGCAGTGCCTTGGCAGCATCTCTGCGGTCAGAGACAGAAAGAGAGAGAGAGAAAAGAAAGTCCTTTGACATTCCCATTAATAATGGAAGTGTTTGTGCAGAAAGCAAGGAGTCACAGAAGAATACATGAAAAGAGAGAGAAGGCTGTTTACAACTCTCCAGTTGTCGCAACGGAGTAGTGAAATAACACTTTTTAAATTATTTTTAAGCCATGTCTTTACACAAAGAACATTTCTTTTTTTTAATTCTTGGCCAAAAGGACGTTCAGTGAAATTATTGACATGTCTTTAACCCTTCCTGGTATCAATAGACCCTGCTCCCATGCTTATGGTAGCACAGAATTGCAGCTTTGCTGGTATAGGTGCATGACAGAGAACAAAAATTATTATTGTGAGCAAATGCCCATAACAGTGTTGTCCTCAGGCTGAAAGAAGGAGAGGTAAAACAATGTAATTCCTGAGACGATCAGGAACTTCATGCTGCTGGGTTTCACTCAAGTCTTGTTGCCTTTCTCTGATTTCTTTTTATACTACTGAATTTCCCTTTAAAGTAGGGAGGTTCAGACTGAGAATTAACAACAAGAACATGAGCTAATGCAGGCTTCCTAATCTGAGCTGTCTGAGGAAATAGTGATAAATTGTGTAAACATGGGGACTACATGGAAGTTCATGGAGGATAATGTAAATCTTATACTACATTCAGAGCAACCTCTTCCTTTTCCATCTGTTTCCTTCAAAATATCCTCCCAGATGGTTTTACCATGTGGCAGTCTGGATTAAGTTAGGAATGTATCCTGTCTTCATTATTGGGGACTATAAGAGGTTACAGTCAAGAACTGCTGTGTGATGGTAAGCCTCCCTTGGTACAAGTGGCAGAAACTCTTGATCAGGATTCATCCCAAGTGCTCTCATGTGCTTTGAATTGTAGGTGTATTCTCAAAGATTTCCATGAGCGTTAGTGTACATCACCGTTACTCTTGTTATTGCTGCTAGCATCTATATCTCTTGGGCTTGTGTAATTTTTTAAAATATAGAAGCAGTAGGACCAGATAAAATTCTCATTTTATGAAAAACAGCTCTGTTCCTTGAACCATTTCCCAGATTTTAAGCATCATACAGGGCTCTGCCATGCTCTAAATCTCTTTATGGATATCTGCTGTCCAGTTTGGGGCCATACAGATGCCTGTATAAAGTTTTGCAGTATCTTTAAAACATTCCCGGAGCTCTCAGAATTTACCACCACACAGACAGTAAATAGCACCAGTAAAATCCACTGGAAAGCTGCACACCCATATAATTAATACAAACCTTTGAATACTGTGATCTACACACATCTTTGTGGTGATCACTGATGCATACTTTCACACTTACTTGAGTAAATGAAGAAAAAATAGCCAGACAGACTGTATGACATTGGTAGGTTTAGCACTTTCACATAAATATTTGCCTAAATCTCAAAACAAGACTCTTTGAAATCTTCCCTGTCCCCAAAGAACGTAGAGCCAGATTTTACAATCAAGATGTAGTAATATTCTTATCAAGGTGTGAAAATAAACAATCCAAGTAGAAATTTCTCCATTTCCTCATTTTTAGGCAATTTGTAGCAGCTGTAGACTTGGCTATATGGGGGAGTTGCACTCTTAAGTAATACAAAGGAAATAGATATTTTTATGGAAACATAATTGAAGCTATCAAAGTTTTCTGGAAACAAGATATGTTTTATTTTTTTCATTTCTGGAAAGAAGAAGTACTTTGCATGTAGAACAGCCCTTTGAAAATCTTATAATCTCTTTCGGAGATCTATTAAAATCTCAGATCCTCACAGATCCTTAATATCTGATTCCAAAAGACAGCATACCAGGTCAGCAGGACAGTGCATAGATCAGAAAAAAGATTGTATCAGTCAGAAAAGTACACATAAAGTGTACATAGAAAAGCGTGCACAAAAAAATGTGCGCCAAAAGAACACATAAAGTTTACTTTTCTACCTAATGCAAAATGTAGTATATGCTTTTAAAACAACATCAAAAAAAAAATCAAATCCCAACAAGAATAAACATTTAAAAGTGTTATTTTGTATAGGAAAGAAGATGCAGATTTGCTATATTTTTTCCTGCTACTCATTTCTCAATCTTGGTATCAATAAAGTTATGCATGTTAATTAGTCATAATATATATACACTTCAAATTGCACCCATCACATATGTCTACTCAATGTAGGACACAGTAAATGCTGAAAGCATCAGACAGACTCTGCAGCCCAGGAGCTACATCCGTGATTCGCACATTCATATGCAGCCCAAAAGCACAGACTTTGTGAGCAGAGCTGAGCCTGGGACCCATGATGGTTGTGTGGCAGGTCCAGTGTGCTGGGATACCCTGGCCAGTAGGTCTAGGGTTTAAATACTTCATCCCCTCTCTTTGCCATGCAATAAATCTGCACTTGGACAAGCTTCAGGCGTTCTGTTACGTGCTAGCCACCACATGTGAATTTAGCCTTTTCCCTTCTGGGAAATCTCAGACAGATATGTGGTAGAAATACTCAAGAGACCCACTTCCATAGATTGAAAAGAAGCTTCCAGTGTCACTGACAGGATGGTAAATCCCTTGCACCTAAGCAAGGTGCACATACACATCCAAGAGAGTGAGTGCCACTGTCCAAGGGCCACCCTGTGTCCTGCCAAGCCAGGAATACTGCAACCTTACTCCACTGAGCCTTGACTGTAGAAATACTGAAAAACCTCTGCCCTGGAAATTGACCTAGTGCCCTGGGGTTTCATTGCCCTTCCCACTGCATCCAGCAAGCTGTGTTGTGTGTTGTGGACTTTTTTTGTATCTGCTGATATGGAGAGTCAGAAAGTTCCCAGGGGAACTCCTGAAATTCAGATCCCAGAGGGGTAAAACTTTCTTTTCCAATAGTACATGGAATTTTGTACTTTAGCATAAGATAAGTGCATATGTGTTATATAGGCCATTCCAGAACATCCTCTGAAAGTTACCATTCTTTCATTATTGCCTTTTTTTTTTTTTTAAGCAAATATTGAATGTTTTCCCCAAGGTAGCACTAGGGGCCATCTTATATGTACTGGAGGTTCTTGGTACCATGTGAACACAGACTGAGCAAGTGTATGTTGTGGAGCATGGGAAATCAG